TATATATATATATATATATATATATATATATATAATAAAATTCGGCTTGGGTCCATATGGACCCAGACCTGACCCATCGGGTCCAAATCTTGGACTCATACCCAGACCTAGGTCCTGGATCTTGGGTCTATGGGTCCCAATTGCCACCCCTACATGTGTGCTCGTCTTTTCTGAAATTTGGAATTCATAGCCTCTAAAAATAAAAATCACCTCACCTATATAACTAAGTAGACTGACCTGGCTTGTGGGCCTCCAGGCCAATGTGAGAAACATGTATGAACTCATTGCTAAGATGTGTGCAAGCATAGTTTGGATGTGCATATCACTGCTACTAGACTCTCGTATTTGGAAGCTGCAATCACTATATCATATTTGAATACAAATTTCCAGTTTATGTTTTAAAAGTTGAAGATTGTCACTAACCCCAATACTATTTATTTTGTCACCCACTCCTTCAGAGAGTTAATTTTTTAGGACAAAAGGCGCAATACTTGATGTAGTCCTTCATAATGTTTGATGGCTCGGAGTTTACCTTACTATGGAAGGGATCCCTAACAATTGTAGATTCTAATGTAGAGAAGAAGAGGAGGTAAATAGCCATGGCTGGATGGAAGACATGGTTTAAAGAGATGCTTTTGGTAGACCTTGGATCCCCTGTTCTGTTTTCGGTTTTCCTTTTTCCTTCTCTCATGTAAGGGAAAGTGGATTTCTCATCTTTACAGGAAAGTTTATCCTTTTTTGTGCTCTCTTTAGTCAATATTTGAAGAAAATGAGTAATTGTCCTTGATTAATTGAGAGGTACAGCAAGGGTATATATAACAGTATACGAGAACAACTAGATAACGATCCTTGACTGGGTAAATCAAGGATATAGTTACAATCAATAGTTACAACAAACCAAGATAAGTTAAAAATATGTTAACAACTCAAAGAATCTTTTTCAAATTCAAATGCTCTTTCTCTCAATACACTCCGGCAAGATGAGCGTCCAACTGGACGAACGGTCAAATAGTCTCTGAGAGAATAAAAACGAGTAGGAGATAGGCCTTTGGTGAGTATATAAGCGGTCAGATAGTCTCTTAAAAAATGAAAATGAGTAGGAGATAGGTCTTTGGTAAAGATATCAGCGATTTGTGCAACGCTGATAATAAACCGAATATATAATGAACCCCGGGCAACACGTTCTCGAATGAAGTGATAATCAATATCAATATGCTTAGGGTGAGCATGAAGTACCGGATTGGATGCTTACTATGTGGCATTGATGTTATCACAATAAATCACTGGGGGAGAAGGTAAAAATATATACAAGTCTCGAAGTAGAAAGAGGATCCATTGAATATCTGCAGTTGTAGTAGCAAGAGCACGATACTCTGCTTCAGCACTAGACAGAGATATTACAGGTTGCTTCTTTGTGTGCCAAATCAAGAGATTCGATTTAAAGAAAACCCACATGCCAAAAGTAGAACGACAACTATCCGGGCAGCCAACCCAATCTGCATCAGAGTAAGCCTGAAGTGTCTCATCAAAAGAAAGTTTATAGTGATGCCAAGAGTAGGAGTCAATATTTACTCCTAACTAGGTCCTCTACAATTGGATGGAAGCTTAGGCCTTCTCCACAAGTGTTTTCCTAATAAATTGTTTGCCAACTTTAACTTTGGGGTACAAGTCTCCATATGGAGTTCTATTTAGTACTCAACCAGATTACAATAAAGTCTCCATATGGAGTTCTATTTGGTACTCAACCAAATTACAATAGTTTGCGCAACTTAGGGTGTCGTTACTATCAATTTCTTGGCTCTTATCACTCTGATACCATGAAGAGAATGAGTAATTATCCTTTAATTAATTGAATAGTACAGTAAGGGTATATATAACAGTATACAAGAACAATTGGATAAGGATCCTTGACTGAATAAATCAAGGACATAGTTACAGTCAGCCAACCAAGATAAGTCAAAGATATATGAACCACTTAAAGAATCTTTTTCAAATTCAAATGCTCTTTCTCTCAACAATATTCTAGATAAGTATGTTATTAGTGCTTGTGTGCCACTTATGTGCCATGCATGCCCCCCTTTCCTATAGTTTGGCATGGATAGCTCTTTCATGGATTTCTTTCTAAAATTATGATTCTCTTCACCAAATATGATGTGTCCTCGAGTAGGTTTGCCAATTGGGCCTGGATGGCCTTCAAGCTTTGGTTGAGGCCCGGTATGAGCCACATATGGGTATAAGTAATGAGAAAAGATCTGATGATTTATAATTTGAATGAGGGTATGTTTGATAGTGCGGAAGGGCAGAACATGATTCATGTAGCCGCCCTTAAATAGTTGAGATAAGACTCAGATGATAATAATGATGATTCTCAATTAAGTCAAAAAATTTTAGTCCATACTTCATAATCTAATTTTGGACCAATGTTGTCAAATTTGCTTCGAAGTCTTTTTCGATTTGGTGAGAAAAATGAAGCACTTCGATACTTCAGCCGATTCGGTGGAAGATAGACTTTTTTAAATAAAAATATGCAAATAAATTTAGATTTTTATGTATGTAAATAATGGAAAAATTCAAAAAAAAATTCAAAAAAAAAAACTTTTATGTAAATATTTCTTTGCTTAGGTTGAAGAGGCTGAAGGTTCAACCGAAGAGGCCCAAAGCATACCGGAATCTGATCAAAGTAATAGCACTAGGCTTCTCTTTGTTTCGATCTTGGCTTAAAATCCGAATGCTTTGGCCGAAGCGAAGAGAATTTGACAACAGTAATTCGGGCCCAAAGCGGCCCAAATATGACTGAAGCAGCTCGAATCAGACCGAAGCGGCAACACCAGATTTCTCTTCGCTTCGGTCTAGGCCTAAAATCTGAAAGCCTCTTCAGCCGAAGCAAAACGAATTTGACAACATTGATTTGCACATTGTGTTATTTTTGGCTTTATTGTTAACTTGGGCAAGTCCGAGTAACTTGCAACAGGGCCAAGTACCTGGCCCAAGGCGAGTCTATAAATACAAGTTTTCTGAATTTGGATTTCAGCAAATTTGCAAATAAAGACGATGGAAAATATGAAAAAGAGCCAAATGTTGGGAAACGACAATAGAATTTGGATTTCAAACGAATTAAGCATGTTTAATATAAGAAATATGAATCATGTATCCAATGGTCAATTGTTACTTGCACTGAGCTACTAATAATACTTGCACTGAGCTACTAATAATACGCATCATGACAAACCAAATTAGAATTGGCATCAGAAGTTCAAAGCATGAATCCAAATGTAGACTGCACTAAGCTACTAATGTAGAATTGCTGTTGGATCAAGCATGGGCTTATAAGTTCTCATTTAAAAGAAACGCTAATCTTATTAGGGCCCATGCTATGCTAAAATAAAAAAAATAAAAATAAAAAACCATGATGAGAGTATCAATTTCAGTAGAGAGAAACATGTGCAGCTGCCAGAACACTGCAACGTTACAATCACTAAAACTTTACATTATTCTGCAATGGGAAAGCCAAATTAGGAAGTAATAAGATAGCAAACAATTGAAATCCTTTTTACTGTTATATGGTTTCATATTTTATGTGGAGACTTGTCATTTGACAAGACTATCAAAGTGTAGGAAACCTTGGCCCTTTCCAAAAAGAAAAATGTGGCTGTGGCAATCTCAAAAACCTCGCATAGAACACTTGGCCCTTTCCAAAAGAAAAATGTGGCTGTGGCAATCTCAAAAACCTCGCATGTCATTCAATTGACTTTCTAGAATTATGAATTAAAAAAATGATATTTATTAATTACTGATACAGAGCAATCAGAGAAAACTATACTGAACTGTGGTCAATAACATTCAATCAGTTACTGCAAACATAAGAGAACACCACTAAACAAATGTTTTACCCCTTTCACTTTCGTTTCCTTTGTCACTGAGAAAAAGTAAATGTGACAAATGAATATGACATCGACAAGATCCTTGCTCAAGTGATATATTTTTTTATGTAACTAAAAATTTTCTTTTTTAGAAAATGGCATATCACTAAGTTGTTGACAGGATAGAAAAATGCCAAACAAAGGAAGAGAATGATGAAAGGAACAATGAAAGCAGGAATTGGGTGAAAATATCATATCCATTTGCATGAATCTTGGGAGCTTGAGGGGGAACTTGGCACTTAAAAATCAATGGTGATTTGAGAATCGCAGCCCAGATTTTCTAATCAAACAACTGGTTCATTTCCTCCTCTATAGGAACAGGAGATAGCGCACTAGAAACCTTTGAGCAACAACATCTAGAACTGAAATACAAAAAAAGCAAACACAAAAAAGTTATCATGCAACTTGAATATCCAATCTTTTTTTAACTTCTTATACAAAATTCAACATTGAGTTCGTCATTTTTATGTTTGGTAGTTTCAAGTTAAAATATGCCAAAGCAAGTGCAACTTAACTAGGACAATAGGACGCATTCAAGAATCTGGATACATTGATCATCAAAATAAAATAAAATAAAATATATGAAGAAAGAAGAGAAACAATACTATGATACTCAAGTTTGGAAATGAATATTATTCCCTATTGTAAAAAAATTAAAAGACATATATGTCAAATCAAGAGAAAACAAAAATGGAGATGAGGGGTAAATTCTAACAAACAAAAATAAGGCCCCTATATAATGGATTCTGGTATGGGTGACTTCAAGTTATAGAAAACATCACATCTGTATATATCGATTTTTTTGAGATTAAGAAGATGATGGCCACGATCCCTTCCAAATGCTCCTCAGCACCGGCAATTCCTCGAGCAAGAAGCTAGACGTAGCATCAAGGGCAACCCATTCTAATCTAAGCATCCCACAATTTCCAAAATATTCAACATTTTCATGTAGGATAGTTGCTTGAGACTGAACAAGTCTTCGCAACCTTCTACTCCTAGTTCTCTTAGCTGCTGAAATATCCCTGCATCATTGGGTTTTTTGTTGAAAATGTGGTTATTGCTAATGGGTGTGATTATTGAGCTCAAGTTGCCCTGGCGCTCCAATTCCTCCTGCTGGCTTCTGTGCTACCTCCCTCTCCTCACAACTTTCCAATCCATGCATCCACAATCCAAAACATTGAGCTCCTCCAAACAAACTAGCCTTGATACCACCCCATATTCTACTGACGATCACGAGTCAATCCCAAGTTTAAATGGTATAGCTTGACCAATTCTACCATCTCCTCAAGAAATCTTTTGATTCTGGTGCAATAAAAATTCAGCACTTGGAGTTGCTTAAGTGGTCCTAGAGGCAAAGTCCACTAGAATTACACGATGAGATAGAAGAAGGTGACAGAGATCCTTCAAGTGGCAGTGAACATATGCCAATGCAGGTGACATAGATCCTTCAAGTGGCAGCGAACATATGCCGATGCAGCTGAGATCAAGCACCTTCAGGGCTTCCATCCATTCAAAGAAGCCTTCTGGAATTTTTATTAAAACAAATTCTTGATGAGAAGTATCACCCAGTCAGTGGACTAAATAAATCTGTCCCCTTTCAGTCTCTAAGTAATCTGAAAGAAAAATATTGCATCCCATTTCATTATCATAAACACCTCAAATAGGTCCTCAAAATCTTCTATTTGTCTTTTGCTCGTTCCATCTTTCAATCTGCAAGCATATGAAATACATCTTCAGTGGAATGTTGCAAACGAATTTCACATATGCAAAATATGAAGACTACAAAATCATTAATATGTTAATAAAAAGGAATCATCTAAGAAGAGTCAACCCATACAAATACAAATACCAAGAAACAAAGAAACTTATAGAATTCTTAGAACTCCATAGCCTGTCCCTAAATGGATTGTTAAAAGAATCGAATAGATACAATCCATGAAGCTTCTAAATTACTACAAGTGTGAGAGGATTATTTGTTAAACATAAAGTTTCGAGAATCATGACATTGAAATAGAATAACTGGAGAAATTATCAAAAACTGAAAAATAATGAGTAGAGAAGTAAAAGGGGCCTGAATTGCCACCAATGCTTTTACATTTAGCCGACACATCAAAACAGGGCAAAGGTTTATTAATGCGTTATTGGCTACTAACCCTCAAGTTAGCATTTTCCATGATCGTCCTCAGCTCCAAACTGTTTTCTTGGAGATTTTTCTCTTGGGTAAGATTCAAATATTTTACAATTCAATTTGAAGCTATCAAACACCACTTTGGACCATAATGAGATATGGAAACGAAAGATCCGACAATATTGTGGATATAAGGATATTACAGCTTTATGAAACTTACCCTAAATGAATCCTTTAATATAGTCCTTTCCTCGGAATTTATTGGCTTCAGCCTCCGTCAGTTTGTGCGACAGAGGCACTCTTTTGTGGTGTTGGCACCAGGTCCCCAACACACATATTCTGCATTACAGTCCTAATACCACCAAGAAACTTAAGAGGTGTTAGTGATATTTGAGATATATTTGTAAATGCAAAAGGAAAATGAAAGAAAAATTAAAAGGAGGTGCTAGAAATTTTTGAAATATATTTGATCAAGCATTACCACTAGAAGTCAAACCCAACAAAGAACACAACCATGAAGATGCCAGCAACAGTAGGATTGAAATTCAGACATTGAACAAACGATCCTAATCAGTAAATTTTAGTAAATTTCTACGTTTATTTACAGTTAATGATTCTAAGAATATCACTATAAAATCGATCCCATAGATTGTCATTGTCATTAAAGTATGGAAGCAAAGGGAAAGAACTCTGTCTCCATTTGAGACATGGGAAACTTTGGGAATGGATGACCAAAATGGCACATTATCTATCATCTTTCTAACATATTTTACATCTAAATTTACCCCCTCACGGGAGATGCGAAGTAAAGAAAACACCAATACTAAACATTCCTTCAAGTGAACTTAACTCCTTAATGGTTAAACCACAGATGAAGTAAAACTAGATACAATCCATCACACAAATTCTAAACCGAAAAAACAATACATACACATCGTCAAAACTCAAACCACATACACACATCCAAAAAAAAAAAATGATCAATCATATAAGAAGCAATTTTGCAGCATATCATAATTCATGATCATCATCTCCTCAATAACTACTACAAAAACTAACATGATTTCCTTTTAACAATTCATATCAACCCACATAAATTTGAATTTTGAAATCATATCCATACATTTCCTGCATAAAAAAATCAGGATTAAATTTTCACATTAGCTCCTGACATTTCTCTCTCTAAAACATTCCCAAGTAACTGCCTCCATGCCTTCTGTTTATGTGATGAAAGATGGGCATTCTTCCTCGAATTTCCTACCAAAAAGGTTTTTCTTCTGCCCATATGTGTGCATTAAGAAGTCTCAAAGCTACTAAAATGGGTCTTTTTCAGGAAACAAGCCTTCTCTCATGGCCTTGTTTAGTGATTTGTTCCTTTGCAAAATAGATGGCTCTCTCATGGAAGCAAATCCGAATTAGCTTGCCCCTGCCTTTCATCTAGGATTTCAAAATTTGGGATTTTCTACTAAACCTATGGGAGCATTCAATGGATATGGCTTAATAGATAAGTGAAGCTAAGGGAGGGGTGTTCACCCAAAAAAAGCTATCGGAGGGGTGTCTGCCCAAGGCAGAGAGAATACAGCAACTCTTAATAACCATTTATATTGTGCTTGCATGTGACAAGTAAAAATCATAAACCATAAAAACCAGAGTAATTGAACAAAAAGTCATAAATCATACACAAGAGAGTGATAGAACAAACACAAACTACACACCAGAGTGATACGACAAACCTAAATAATGCTAAAGAAAAATTCATAAATCATACATGAGACCGATAGAACAAACAAGGGTTCCGGGACCTAGCCGAGTCCAAGTGGACTCGGCCAAGCACCTCCGATTGGTGGGACAATTCGGGTATTTAAAAAATTTCAAAAAAAAATTAAAACTAAGATTACATTGTACAATTTTTTTACATGATTTAGATGTCTTTAACATAAAATCAAAGACTGTTGAGTTTCTTTTGCCATAATCACATTTTTATATTTTTCTTGTTTTTGAATTTCTAAAAGATTTATAGGGTTTTTTAAATCCATGTTTTCTATACTTTTTTAACCTGCATTGTAGGTTTGAATTTAGTTTTAATAAATATTTATTTTTTCAAATTTTTCTATTTTTTACATTTTTTTAGGACCTTTTGGCCCTAGACTTGGCCGAGTAACACACCTTAGCCAGGAGGAGAGTTCCCCAGACTCAGCTGAGTAACTCACCACAAACAGGGGTAGGTTCCCTAACCGATGGGGGTTTCTGTACATTGGAACAAACATAAACTACACACAAGAGAGTGAAGCGAAAAACCTATAAGTACCACTCGTGATCTCCTCCACCACCAACTTTGTGTATTATTAGGTGGTATGCGTCCTATGGCTCCCATGATCGTCGTGAAATTTGCCGATTCACCGTCTTGTCTAACAGTGATCGTTGTGCAAAGTTTCTCATCAATGGTACTCAAGAGCAAAAGAGTTACCCTATGGTAGCACAAAAAGAAGAAAATGAATGTAGCAGTACCCATACCCATCATAAAGGTTTAGATTTCAATAGGATAAGAGTTACAAGTACACTACTTGAATAATACATTGAGAGAATGGAAGATTATTGATGATATGAGCTTAAGGATATTATATGCAGTTTTAAAATCCAATCACATCATAATTGTGTCTGTTGATGTTTATTTATTGGTGTTCTTCATTACTTCTTGGGTGAGGTTTGTTAAGATGCCCACCTCATATTATACCATGTAAGTAAGGCATACCTTTAAATTTTGCCGGAAGATAAAGTTCCATTTTCAGAAACTGTACGATGACTTGAATATCTGTGTTCAACCCTAATTATGAAATTGAAATTTTCACAAATAGTGAAGATCGAGGAGATCTATAAACCCTTGTAAATCTTAAAAAATAAATGGTTCACATAACTTGTATATACATACTATTTTAGGACTTGAAATTTTTATTTTTTATTTTATATCCATACATCTCAAGGTTAGGATGATCAGTTGGAAGGTTTTCCAGACACTCTTTTCTACTAGATTTTTTACGTGCACCTTATTTCTATAGTATAAGGTTGCAACCTCATTCCTTAGTTGTTTGGTTGTTGCATGTATTTGTGTCAACTACCATACTATTTTGTGTTTCATCAAAAAGCATCTCTTTTTCTATTTTGGGTGAAGATTAGTATTTTTTAATTTTTTCTTCACAAAGCATCAGCCCTTTAGATTTGTGTGCACATCCATAAGGGGGTAAAACGTAGCATTCAAAGATGCCACTAAAACCCGTTTTAGTTGTCACCTAGATGAGAAAAAATGGAGGGCAGTACTGATTTTTTCTTGCTTTTGAAATTGACAAATAAAATGGACATATAGTTATCGAGTTGGGAAACTGTATTTAATGATCCATATTTGGAGCCTCACTATAATCCAATCAATGATGGATTGAAGAGAGAGTAGGACTTACTTGAACACCATATAACAAAAGTGCAACCTCTCTCTCTCTCTATATATATATATAT